TCCACCGCCCGCATGCGCCACCCACGCCCATTTCGGCACACCCCTCACACGTTTCGTGGCCCCATTGGGAGCTCCAGCGAAGGCCCCGGTGCCACCGTCCGCATACGTCACCCACGCCCATGCTGGCACACCCCTCGCGCGCTTCGTGGCCCCATAGGGAGCTCCAACGAAGGCTCCGGTGCCACCGCCCGCATGCGTCACCCACGCCCATGCTGGCATACCTCTCGCGAGCTTCGTGGCCCCATAGGGAGCTCCAACGAAAGCCTCGGTGCCACCGCCCGCATGCGTCACCCACACCCTTTCGGCACACCCACCACACGTTTCGTGGCCCCATAGGGAGCTCCAGCGAAGGCTCCGGTGCCACCGCCCGCATGCGTCACCCACGGCCATGCTGGCATACCCTTCACGCGCTTCGTGGCCCCATAGGGAGCTCCACCGAAGGCGCCAGTGGCTGCGTTCGCATGCGCCCACCGCACCCATTCTGGCACACCCATCACACGCTTCGCGGCCCCATAGGGGGTTCCACCGAAGGCGCCAGTGGCTGCGTTCGCATGCGCCCAGTGCGCCGATTTCGGCACACCCCTCACACATTTCGCGGCCACATAGGGAGCTTCACCGACGGCCCCAGTGGCTGCGTTCGCTTGCGCCCACCGCGCATATTTCGGCACACCTCTCACGCGCTTCGTGGCCCCATAGGAAATTCCACCGACGGTCCCAATGGATGCGTTCGCATGCGCCTGCCGGACAAATTTTGGCACGCCCTTCGAACGCTCGTGGCCCAAAAGGGAGCTCTTCCGAATGCGGTGGACACAACGACGGTGCTCATAACTGCATGTGGTCGGGTCCTTCGCCAAGCTAATGTTACAATCCTGGGGGGTGGGAAGGCCCCACCCCCTGGGGGCCGAACCTTCCGGAATCCCCGGCTTCTGGGGCTTGTGGACGCCCCTGCCGAAAGTCCCATGAAACCTCCGGGCTTGTGGGAGCCCCTGCCAAGTCGTGCAAACGAGCCGGCGGTAGCCCCAAGAGGGTCCAACATAGCCTCCTGATGGCACAGGAAAACTTCCAAACGCCCCCAGGAGCTCCAAGAAGAACCCCCAAGTGGGCCTCCAAATCCAAAGCCTGCGCATTTCTTATAGGTTGTTGTGTTATTTTGGCATTCTCGCTTTCTCGTGGAAGGCCCACAAAGCCCTCCACATCGCCCCAGGACAACTCATGACGGCCAGAGAAGGCTCCGAGACGGGCGAAGATGCCCCCACGATCCCCGAAGAAGGCCCCAAGACGGGCCCAAGAGAGAGCCATTCACTTCTCAAGGACCTTCAGACCGCCACCAGGCGCGAGCCCTCCGGCCCTAAGACCGCCACCAGGCGCGAGCCTTCCGGCCCTAAAGGACCCACGAAACTACCAACAGGCGTCCAAACGGGGGCTCAAAATTACACCGGACTCACTTCTATAGCGCTCACTTCTATAGTGCTCACTTTGAAATTGTGGTCCGGAAGGGGCCGCACATGCAGGCACATGCCGCACAGTCGCATGCACATGTCCATGCAAATATGTAAAAGCCTCAACAGCATTGCCGCACATGCGCGCACATGCCACACCGTCCGACGCACAGTCGAATGCACGGTCAAGCAAAACTCTGAAAGCATGGACGCACATGCCCGCACATGCCGCAGAGATGTCGCAGGCGATAGTGGCATGACCACCTGAGCTCGGGGCATTTCGCAACCGAGAGTTGCGAGGATGTCTCAGGCAAGCGTGGCCGGACCACCATGGGGCAGGGCATCTCGGAACCCAGAGTTGCGAGGGTCTCAGGCGAAAAAGGCCGAGACACTATGGAGCAGGGCATCATTGAGGTCAGAGTTGCGAGGATGTCTCAGGCGAAAATGGCCTGAACACCTCAACTCGGGGCATCTCGGGCGAGGATGTCTAAAGCGAAAGTGGTCTAACCACCTCAGCTCAGGGCGTCTCGGAACCCAGAGCTCCGAGGATGTCTCAGGCGAAAGGGGCCGAGACACTATCGAGAAGGGCATCATTGAGATCAGGGTTGCGAGGATGTCTCAGGCGACAGTGGCTGACCACCTCAGCTCGGGGCATATCGGAATCGAGACTTGCGAGGATGTCTCAGGCGACAGTGGCCTGACCAGCATGGGGCAGGAGATCTCTGAGGTCAGAGTAGCGAGGATGTCTCAGGCGAAAGTGGTCTAACCACCTCAGCTCAGGGCGTCTCGAAACCCGAAAGTGGCTGGGCCACCATGGGGCAGGGCATCTCCGAGACCAGAGTTGCGAGGATGTCTCAGGCGAAGGTGGCCAGATCACCTCATGTCAAAGCACGTCGGCCTCCAGATTGCCGACGACGTCTCACGCGGAACCGGCCGGACGCGAACGCGCCGGCGCCCGGAGACGAACGCCGGCCCCGGCATTCTTGCACGTCCCGCACATGCCCCGCACAGGTACGCACAGTATTCGCACAGGCCGAGCTCGCCAGTGGCCGAGCCAGGCTAGCGATTCCGAGATTCCCTGAGCTCGGGCCGTCAAGCCACTTTCGCCTGAGACATCCTCGCAACTCTCACCTCCTCCTCCTCCTCCTCCTCCTCCTCCTCCTCCTCCTCTTCCTCCTCCTCCTCCTCCTCCTCTGGCCGAGCCGAACAGGCGGGCGGGCCGGCCGAGCCGGGGGCGTCCGCCTCCTCGGCCCCCCCTCCTTCCCCCCCCCTCCACCTCCCCCCCCCACCCCTGCTTCTCCGGCCGAGCTGAGAAGGCGCGCGGGAGAGTGTTTTACTAGGAGGGCACGCCACCGCCAGCTCACGAACCGGGCGAAGAACCGCCCCCGCCAGCAGCGGGCGAGTCTAAACGCACAACAAACTCTTTCAGGAAGCCCTGGCACGCCCCAGGTTAGCTCTGCGAAGGCCAGGAGGCATTGGAGGCACAGGGGTCCCAGACAGCTCCTAGGGCATGAGCGTGCATGTGCATTGGGATGTGCACGCATGTGCGCCCGCGCGCTTCACCGCATGTGCGTGCATGTGCGGGCCCGCGCGGCCTCCCGAAGAGAGGTTGCACAGGCATGTGCGTGCATGTGCCGATGACAGATCTGCGATTCTCGAACACCTCCCGCATGTGAAGGCATGTGCGCGCATGTGCGTCGGATTGTGCGTGCATGTGCGTATGATGGATACATCAAAACACAGCGCACATGCCCCCGCACATGCCCGGGCACGACGTGCACAGTAGGAAGTCCATCCGAAAAGGGCCGCACAGGCCTGGCACATGACTGGCACATGCCGCGCACATGCGCGTACATGACAGCGCAAAAACGGCCGCACATACACCCACCCAGGGGTATAGATGTGAGTGCGGTGTACCTACAAAACCAGCAACATGGTTCCCGCGACGACCCCGAGACGCCTCCCCACAGACCCAAACGCATCGAAGAGGCCCGCCGTGGTCCGAGCACCCTTTCGGATCAGCCTCGAACTCGGGCAGATCGTCTCCGGCCAATCTTCCAACCCATTGGAGCACGCAGGTTTTTTTTGCAATCCTGCAATCCTCCGTTTTTTTTGCAACCCTACGCTTTTGTTTGCAATCCTTCGTTTTTTGCTATCCTTCGCTTTTTTTGCAATCCAAAGTTTCGTTCAGCTATCAAACTCAGCAATCTTCGGACACCTTGGGCCATCTTGGCAGACAACCGCGGCTCTCTCTCTCTCTCTCTCTCTCTTTCTCTCTCTCTTACTCGGGCTCGACGCGCCCGATCCTCTTCACCCCGCTCCACCCCCCCCCCCACACACACACACACAAAACGTCCAGAGCCATTTTGAATTTAACGCCGCCGCGTCTTCAGGGGCGAAGTCCCCGTGGCAATGAAAGACACATTTTGGGTTTCGTTCTGGCTCGTCCGCCGCGCGCGGCAGATGGTCCGAGACAGTCTGCTGGGGAAATCGTCGCGAACCACAGATGTCCCGCGCTGGTGGCGCGGGCTGACTCCCAGCGCGCAACGCCTGCCAAACATGGAGGACGTGCAGATGGAAGCGCTGACAGCTGCGCGACAGAGTTGATGCCATTTCTGCGAGCAAAAGAGTGGCGGCAAAATTTAAAATGATTCTCCACGAACGCACCGGACACCCCTCCGAGCTGGTCGGCGATAGTTTCAACCCGAAGACGCTGGAGAAGGCCAGGCTCGCCAAGATTGGCGCCCAAGGCCGCCCGAAAGTTGCGATCAATTGCCGCCAACAGCAAATGCTTCTTGAATGCGCTGTCGGAGTTGGAGAACGGCAGCGGCATGGTGTCCGAGCTGCTTGCAGCGTCCGCCGAGGACCTGGAGGGCGTGCTCGCGGCTTCTTGAAGGGGAACTGGGACACACAAATAAATACACACAAATAAAAATATCCCCCATATTTTCCCATATTTTCTGGGTTTTTGTTCCCCCCCACTTCCCATATTTTCCCATATTTTCTGGGAATCGCCGATTAATTGTGTCTGTGTGTTTTTTCCCCTCTTGAGCTTCTCGGAGCTGGTGGAGCTCCAAGGCGAAAAATGCTTCGCGCATTCCGCAGCCCTCCTCGCGCTGCCCGAACCACGGGCGGCACAAGAAGACACCCGCAGCGGTGCTCGCCGGGAGCGGGCCCCGTCGCGTGGTGTCCCAGCGTCTGGGGGCCGCGGTGCAGGCCGCCGGAAAGCGGGGCGAACCGGTCCGCAAAGTTGCCGCGCCACACGCACAGTGCGCTGCCGCCCTGCAGCTCTGGACCGCCCTCCTTCGCCAGGCTGGGGCTGCGCGCAAAAAAAACGTTCGTGGACCGCAGAGCTGCGACTGTTGCCCAGTTCGGCCCCAACGTGGTGCGGCGCGTGTATCAATTGACCTTCGGCCCCGCCTGCCGCCGCCCCTGGGCGTGGCCTTTGGATGTTCGGAAAGCCGGCCAGGAAGCAAACGAGACAACTAACCGAGCAGCCAACAACGCAGCTAACCAAGACCCGCGAAGTAGCCGACCAGACAACCGAACGTCAGCGCAAAGGACTCTGAAGGACCCGACTACATTCCTCACCGCGCCTCGCGGCGCGGCGGTGGACTCCTACTGCGAAAAAGCCACCCTGACGGACTACGCCACGCAGCTCGTCTTCTTCGAAGAGTCGCAGTTGCTATCCCGGCTCGGAAGCGCCACGCTGGAGGAGGACGGAGAGGGGGGAAGCGACGGCGAAAACGTGGCCGCGGGCAACGACGAGCACGAGGTCGTCGCCGCCGCTGCGACAGGAGGGGCCTGAATTCGCGTCGTGCGCTTGCCGGGACTGACGCAACAAAAGCCTCCCGTCCCCGCTCTCCCACTGCTGACTCGCCTGCCCGCCTCCCCCCCCGCCTCTGCGACGCGCGCACGCGCGTCGAACAGGGGGTGAACGGAGCAGACGCAAGAGGAAGGATGTGTATTTTTTTACAAAAGGAGGGAGGGCTGCGAAACAAGGTGCACGGCGCAAAGTGCCAGTGCAGTCTTGTATGTACAGATTTATACGCGGCCACCCTCCGACAAACCTCGCACGCTCTTCCAGGGAGGGCGGCGGTGTGCAGAAAGTCGTTGGCTCTCACCTGGTGATCCACACACCGCCGCCCTCCCCTGAGGCCCAGGAGCAGTCCAGTGGAAGGCGTATGTGTATAATTGTGTGTGGCGGACCTTCGCCCGACCAGAACCACCGCCCTCCCCCCAACAAAAAATCTCCAAGCGTCGCCCAACGACGGCACGACGGGCGCCTCGCGTCGTGCACCCGCGGTTTCGGACCTTCCTTTGCCCCTTGCTACGCACGAGGATGACCCTGGAGGCACGAATGAGCTTTGGTGCGAGGCCTTCGGAGGCCGCAAAAGGGGGGAGGGGAAAATCCAACCGCGAAAGCCAATGTTGGGGGGGGGGCCTGTCGGCCCCCTTCCGTTACGACCCCCTCGCACCCGATCCCCCCAAGCACGGGCGGGTCGCCAGCCCCGAGCCCCCAGACATGCGAAGTCTTGTGTTTTCACTACGCTGGCCCCCAGCCACTCAGCAGGGACAACTTCTCATCCCGAGTCGTTCTTGGACGGCCCGCGGGCCCAGCCAGGGTCCCCAGAGACCGAAAAGGGCCAGAACCCTTCCGTCGTGTTTTTTTTGTGTCGCGACGCGAGAGCATGTCCGCGAGGGAGAAGCGAGCGAGGGCCGCGCGGAGGAGCTCGGAGGAGGACCGCTGGGAGGAGCGAGGAAGAACGAGGAAGGACCATGAAATCCGACGCTGCGAAAAAATCGCAGCACCGCAGAGAAAATCGACCAGAGCCCTGGACCCCTTCCTTCCGCGGCATGTCTCGAGCCCGGTCGATCTGGGATGGTCCCCCCCCCCCCGCAGGTCGCGCACAGGGTTCGGGCGACTGACAAGGCGGGGCGACCTACAGGGGGAATGGAGAGACAGGCCCCAGGGAGGCCCCCGAGGACCCCTTGGGGGTCCGCAGGGGCCCAAAGGGGGCCCTAGAGGGCCCCTCGAGGGCCTTCTCTTTCACCCCCCATTGCCCGGCAACGATGACACCATGATTCCAGAGCGCCGTAGATCACCACAGCGAGGCTGTGCCACCGCGTGTAACGGCGGAGCGTCTGCCAAGCGAGCGAGGAAAACGCCAGAGTGGAAAGGAGGAGGAGAAGAAGGAACAGCAAGGAACAGAAAGGAACACCCCCCATTTAGGTCCCCCCCCCTTGCCTCCCGCCCGAGACTTCTGAGGGCCCTTCGAGGGCCGTCTCTTTCACCCCCCATTGAGGTCCCCCCCCCTTCCTCCTCCTCCTCCTCCTCCTCCTCCTCCTCCTCCCTCCTCCTCCTCTCCTCCTCCTCCTCCTCCTCCTCCACCTCCTCCTCCTCCTCCACCTCCTCCTCCTCCTCCTCCTCCTCCTCCTTTGCCGCCCGCCCGAGGCTTCTGCCCCACCCACCCCCTCCGGGGTCGCCGCTGCCCGCTGCACGGCCCATGCCCGGCTCGATGGCCGCCAGCGCCGCCGCGCGCCGCTCGACGGCCTGCGTGCCCGCCCGACGCCCGCGGCCTCCCTCTCTGTGAGGGGCCGTGGTGCCGCAGGGCTCCACGGCTGCCCTGCTGCTGACCCTCCCCCTCCTACTCCTCCTCCCCCTCCTCCTCTCCTCCCCCCTCCTCCTCCTCCTCCTCCTCCTCCTCCTCCTCCTCCTCCTCCTCCTCCTCCTCCTCCTCCTCCTCCTCCCTCCTCCTCCTCATCCTCCTCTCTCCTCCTCATCCTCCTCCTCCTCCTCCTCCTCCTCCCTCCTCCTCCTCCTCCTCCTCCTCCTCCTCTCCTCTCCTCTCCTCCTCCTCCTCCTCCTCCTCCTCCTCCTCCTCATCCCCTCCTCCTCGTCCTCCTCCTCCCGCTCCTCCTCCCGCTCCTCCTCCTCCTCCTCCTCCTCCTCCTCCTCCCCCCCTCCTCCTCCTTCTCCTCCTCCTCTCCCTCCTCCTTGCTTCTCGTCCTCCTCCAGCTCCTCTTGCTCCTCCACCTACTCCTCCTCCTCGTCCTCCTCCTCTTCCTCCTCCTCCTCCTCCTCCTTCGCCTTCTCCTCCACATCCTCATCCTCCTGCTCCTCCTGCTCCTCCTCCTCCTCCTCCTCCTTCTCTATCGCCTCCTCCTCTTTCTTCGCCTCCTCGTTCGCTGCCGAAGCCCTCGCTCCATCTCTTCTGGACGGGAGGAACTTCTCCCACCACCACAGGGGAAGCTTTGGCCCCACCGATCGACCTACTCCCTCTCTGTGGGGTAGTCGGGTTTCGCAATGCCCATCCCGCTCCTGGAGGGGGTGTGCTAGGAGAGCCGACTTACTGTCCCAATCGTGGTTGAGATGGTTCTGACGATCACGAAAGTGGAAGTGGAAGTGGAAGTGGCTGCGTCCCCGAAGGGGCCCGCGAGGGGCGCAGCTCAGCGCGTGCCGCCTCATTGCTTCATGAACCACGTGACGAACTTCTCGACTTTGGATGCCCACCAATCCCGGTCCAGTGCCTGCTTTGTCCACGAACCGATGTCGTTGTCAGCGGTAAAACGCCGAACAGCATCTTCCCATTTCATCCACCTTCTTCTCGATGGACGTCGCGTGCGCCATGCGCAGTCTGCTACCGATGTTGTCCAGTCAGAGTCACGCCATTCAGTAACTTTGCGGACCCAAGTGGACATACTCCTTCTGGCAGCGCACCCTGCCCACAGCCATTTCTTCCGGGCGTGCTCTTCGACCCAGTCTCTCACTCCAGCCTCCCGCGCTTTCGCACGAGCTTTCCATGTGGCGCGTTGAAGCCACTCGATCCAAGGCACGTCGGGGGCGCGCCTGCAGCCCAGATCCGCCGGAGCATGTTGTTTTGAACTGTTCGCAACCGCTGCGTTTCCTCCACTCGCGGCGTCCAGGAATGAGATCCATAGAGTACTGCGCTGCCCACCGTGGCGTCAAACAGGCGCAGGCGTTTGTTGACCGAGACATTCGCGTTGAGCAACAGGCGCTTCAAAGCCCAGAACTTCCGCCACCCAACTGCCAGCCGGTGATCGATCTCAGGCTTGGTTGGGTCTGTGAGTGACGCCGATGTGCCTAGCACCTCCAGGCACTCTGACTCCTCTAATACTTGCAGAGAAAAGCCATCTTCTAAAACAACGTCCCCCCTTCTCGTCCATGCCGGGATATCCGTTTGTGCTTTGCATTTACTGGGGTGTAAGCGCAAACCACGAAGCAGCAGCAGGCGTCGTAGCTCCAACACCATCCTCTTGAGCGAAAGCCAAGACCGCGCCACCAAAGTAACATCGTCTGCGAAGGCGACGTGGGTAAGCCGCTTGCCGTCCAATCCCCGCCCAACTTCTGTGCCGTATCCTCTTCGTTGCCACGTTGCCTGCGCTTCTGTCAACACCTGCACCATCACGAGGTTGAACAATACCGGCGAAAGCGGGTCGCCCTGACGCACGCCGCGTTGGACTTGAAATCGCCGACTCTCCACGCCTGGCCACAGCTGCACGTACGCCTCCATGCCCCGGTAAAGCTTTCGCAGAACCTTCACGACAGAGACGTCAATGTTGGAAGACAGCAGAGAATCGAACAACTCGTCGTGATGCACCTTGTCAAACGCCTTCTCCACGTCCAGCGCCGCCAACCATAGATCTTCTCCCCATTCGGCAGATTTTTCAACCACCATGCGCAGCACGTGCACCGCGTCATCGCAACCACGCCCAGTGCGGAAACCATATTGCTCCTCCTGAAGCCTTTTCTCCACAGCTGCTTGTATACGGAAATATAAAACAGTGCTGAATAACTTTGCCATGACAGGTATAATGGAAATCGGCCTGTAGTTTTTAAGCTCCGAACGCTCCCCTTTCTTAAATATCACTGACAAACGGGCAGTTTTCCATTCCAGTGGAGGCTCCATGCGCCCCGAAATAATATCAGAGAAGTATTCCGCAATAGTCTCCAGAAGTTCGGTGTGTCCTGTCTGTAGCATCTCGGACACCAGGCCGTCGTCTGCGCAAGTTCGTCCTTTTTTCATCTTGCGGAGGCCGGCTGTGAGCTCTTCTACGGTCACCCGGGGTACTATGCCATCCAGCTCCTGCTCCTCCAAGTCCTCCGCGCGAGTGTCCTTGTACAGAGCCTCGTAAAAATCAGCAAATGCATCAGCGATCCCTCCACTGTCTGTAACTCGCACCCCTGCGCTGTCTGTGACTGCTGCGATCCTTTCAGTGCCCCCATGTCTCTGCTGTACTCTTTGCAATGCTCGGATGCCTTTGCCCTTCTCTGCCAAGTCATCAATTTCCCTTCCCTGTCGTAACCGTCGCTGTCGTCGTCGCTGACGATCACGGAAGATCATTCTGTCAGAGGGCTCCACGACTCTCCGTGTTCTCAAACCCTCGCTCCATCCGCATCGACCCGCCTCAATGAGCGTCCTCTTCCTCCTCCTCCTCCTCATCATCATCCTCCTTCGCCTCCTCCTCCTCCTCCTCCTCCTCCTCCTCCTCCTCCTCCTCATCATCATCATCATCATCATCATCATCATCATCATCATCATCATCCTCGTTATCGGCCCGCATCCTCAGCATCCTCCACGATCGAGGATCGGAAGCTTACGGATGCTCCTGAAAATTTTCGGGCACCGGCGTGCTGTCCATCGGCTGCGTTTCGTCGAGAGGAGTCTGGAGGTGTCCAGATCATCCCGAGCAGCCGCCCGAGCCCCGATGAATGGCATGATCTCAAGTGGATGTCAACGGGGCGGCAGTCAA